CACACTCAGCCACCTAATCTTTGATAAAGGGGCCAAACAAACTTGGTGGAAGAACGATAGCCTCTTGAATAAATTGTGCTGGAAAAATTGGCTTGCCACCTGCCAAAGACTGAAAATAGACCCAACAAACTCAACTCAAAATGATTCACAGATCTCAGTATTAAAACTGAAACACTAAATCTATTGGAAAACAAAGTAGGTAAAAATCTTGAAGACATAGGAGTAGGCAGAGAGTTCATGAACAAAAGCCAAGTTGCACGTGAAACACTTGAAAGAATCAACAACTGGGATCTCATCCTACTGAAAAGTTTCTACACATCTAAAGAAGTCACCAGCAGACAAAAAGAAAACTCACAAACCGGGAAAAAATTTTAGCTGACTGTCCTCAGACAAAGGGCTTCTATCTAGAACATATAAAGAATTAAAAAATTTCAGCCCCTCCAAATTCAAAGACCCAATCCAAAAACGGGCAGCTGAGATGTATACACACTTCTCAGATAAAGAAATACAAATGGCAGATAAATGCATGAGAAAACGTTCAACATCATTAGTCATTTGAGAAATGCAAATGAAAACAACATTGAAATTCCACCTTACCCCAGTAAGAATGACTAGCATTAAGAAAATAACCAATAACAAATGCTGGCAAGGCTGTGGGAGAAATAGGAACCCTTCTCCACTGCTGGTGGGAATGCAGACTGGTGAAACCACTGTGGAAATCAGTTTGGAGATTCCTCAGAAAACTAGGTCTAGAGGTCCCATTCAACCCAGCTATTCCCCTTCTGGGTACTTTCCCAGAAGACCTAAAAACATCATATCACAATGATATGTGCACCTATGTTCATAGCAGCACAATTTGCAATTGCTAAATTGTGGAAGAAACCCAAATGTCCGTCCACCAAGGATTGGGTAAGAAAACTGTGGTACTTTTATACAATGGAATATTACTCAATTATAAAGAAAGATAAACTCGAGGCTTTTATAGGTAAATGGTTACAGCTAGAGACCATACTCATAAGTGAAATAAATCAGACCTGCATGTGCAACCACCTCATTAGCTCAGTAGTGTAATACCTGAAAGAGTTAATTTAAACTCAGAGGTATGATAGACATTGTGAAATGATAGGAAAATGCTCAAGGGTAAAGGGCAACTGGGGTGTGGGAAAAAAGAAGGGAAAGAAGCAGAAATTTTGTATGTATGTAGATACAGGATAGTTGACACAGTTGTTCTACTGTCTTATATTTCTTTGCTGAAAGAAACTGTCAATGAGTCCTTGATTGATCACTATTGCATGTCTCTACTTGTTTTCATGAGAAACCACTTTGAAGATATCAATATGTAATACAAGAAGCATTGTTAATTTCCTACCACTTTGTTTGTAAGTCTGTATTGTCTGTACTGGTCTTTTGCTATTTTGTGAATGGTTGTCTGTCTGTAAAAGGTTGTTGGTCTGTTAATGTTTTCCTCCTTTTATCTTTAAAATAAAAAATAAAAAAATAAAAGAATAAAAATATTTAAAATGATGACCTCTGCAAATGGAGAGCATAGTTTTATGGGTAAATTAAGAGGGTTTAAAGAAATTGGGGCATGGATTGTTATAAAATGCTTAACAACTCTGAGATTTACAGGAGCCTGATCAATAGATCAATGGCACTGTGCTTACAGAGGCAGTCCCGGCTCAGCCCTTGGCTTTGTTCCTTGTTGTCTGTGTAGCTCTGAGGCTTGATAGTTACAGATGTTGAATACTTATCATGTTTTGGGCATTTTGCTAAGAGCTTTACATATAATGTCACATTTTCTCCCCACTTCATAACTGTCACAGACAGAAGCTCAGGCAGGCGATGTAACCTGGTGAAGACAATATAGACAGAAATGTCAATCAAAACTGTCACCTACAAATCCATGCTCTCTGTCCCTCCACATGCTTTGCTGTCTCTCCTTTTTCTAGCCCCTTCCGATTTTCTGAAGGAAAGATGAAATGACTGTGACAGACCTGCACGTGTTATAAACACTAACTTACCAAGAGGTATTGTTGCTGTTACAAGAAATGTTTTCTGTGGCCAGCCACTGAAAACTCTTAATTCCAATGTAGAGCACTTTTTAAAAATCTACTCATTTCACATTGGTACATCTACCTCATATTGTTGTCATGTACTTACATTAATGGGAAAACAGTGTTTGCAGATTATTTACTAAAAACAATAATAACAACAACATCTGGGGTATCCTAAGTGGAAGACATTATTTTAAGAATTTAACATGTATTGTCTTATTTAAAATTCAAACACTGTATGGTGACTATCTTTATTTTCTACATTTTACAAAAGAGAAAACTGACACATAGATAAGTTAAATAACTGACCAGTGTTAAACAGCTACTGAACAGAGGAGCCAGAATGTGGCCTGGTCCCTGTGATTCTCTTAAGTGTTACAGAAACATCATTTGATAACTTTGCTTTTGGCATAAAATTGCAAAGAAACCAGTAAAGCCGTAAGCAGAGGCATTCAATATTTAGTGCATATAAAATCCACTTGTCATCTTGTTCAGATGCTGATGTCCAGGCCTAATCTTCTGAGTTTCAAATTCAGAAGGTCTCTGAAGTAGAAATCTGCATTTTAGTAGACAGTTTTAAAAAGCATGTAGCTTCATCCAGGTGACTTTTTAGTAGATAGTCTGCAGACTGCATTTGTAGAAACAATGTAAGAGATCAAGTATCTTTTCCTGAATAGAAGAAAGTTTTGACATCAAAGATTAAGTTACTTATATGAATATTTTTCATGCTTTAAGTCCCTTTCCAAATGATTTGACATGTTTGTCTGTGTCTTGGTTACTTTTTTCTCACTGCTGGGACAAAATACCTGATGCCCAAAATTAAGGAAGGAAAGGTTTATCTCGCTAACAGTTTGTGGAAGTTTCAGTCCGTACTTGGCAGACTATAAGGCAGAGTGGCACATGGCAAAGAGCTACAGCTCAAGGTGGCAGAACGCAGCTAAGCAGCAACCACACACCAGGCTGGAATGGGGGAGGAATGGCCACAAGCAGCTTCTTCCTCTCTCTTACATATGCAAACTATCCACCCCAGGGTGGGTGTAGCTCTCATACCCATCAAACTCTAAAAGCCTGCCACGTGGCCACTTGAGGCTTTGGGGGGACACACAGATTCAAACCATAACAGTTTGTGACTATTAATTTATTGAATGAGAAATGCAACAAAAAACCAGATACTTCCTGTTCTCAAAAAAAGTTTAATTAGAGCATGCTAACTTGCAGTTTTGCTTGTTTCATATGGTTGTTGAAAATGAAGCTTCTCTCATTTCTTTCCCCTGGTTATACCACTCACGAAGAAGCCGTGTCTTGTGCTGCTGTGCTTAAAGATTCAACCAAAAGAGCCTTGCCAAGATAGGTCCTCAATGGACCGTTCCCTGGAAGTCTTCAGCCATGACAAGAAAACATCTGTCAGCAGGACTTAATTCTGTAGTTTGACCCAGGGCCAAGAGTGCAAAGTGTAGAGCCCTCAAGAAGTGAGACTTTGCATTCTCTGAAGTAGACAGTTGCCCATGGATACCTACCATATAGTGGGTGCTTCATGCATATTTGTTGAATGATAACAAACAAAATAAAAACTCCTACTACAAATCTCAAACCTAGAAGTAATCTCTAATTCACATAAATTTTATCAGCAAGAACAATTTGAAAAAATTTACAAACAATATCTGTAGAATAAACTGACTTTTGAAGCTTTCAAAGTAAGAACTTCCTCTGAATTTGAACTTCCAAGAGAAACCCAAAGAACAGGGGAAGGGAATAGGTGACGAGCAGGTGCCAGGCCTCCTGTCCCCGCATCACTATTTCCTGCAATCCCCCACTGCACACACTGAAAATGCTCAAACCATCACAGAGTCTGCAGGGATTATAAGGCTTCCAGAGCCGCATCTTCTCAGCAACAGCTGGTGTTTCCCTCTCCACTTCTCCATCGAGCAAGAACATTCAACTTGGCTAAAAACTTCTGTTTCTTGCTGGTCTAACCACGTTGGGTCATCTCGAAACTTGCACTTATTAGCCTGGCACTGCGAGGTTGAGTCTATGTAGCTGTAATTAGCCTTGACACAGGTGAGAAAATTTGTGCACATATGTCCCCTGGCAGCCAAATACTCTTTGTAGAACAGAAAATAGCCTCCAAAGAATTGATCTCAAGTTCCCATGGCTTCAAAAGGTTTTAATCAAAACACACAGGACTATACAGATAGGCAAAACTGAGGTAACAATGAGTCACATCATTGTATAAAATTTTATTGGTTATATTTAACAGTTACTTCCAGCACAAGTAGTTTTCTTGTGTGTGTCAAAAATTAGTGCTCACAAACATTGCCTCTTCTTCATCTTTGATTGAAAAACTGCTTCACTCTATTAAATGGGCCAATGATTCTGTCATGCCCATGAAGGAATAGGATGGGATGAAATATAAACTTACTTGACAAAGGACACATAACATTGATCTGAAAAGAAGATGCTGTTTGGGGGACTGGAGCTTATCTCTCTATAACCATTAGCATAAAAACTATGAAAATAGTTTTCAAAAGATTCTAAAACCCTCTGTACTGGTTCTAAGATACTATGTGGTCTTTCTTTGGTGAAACAAGGGGCACAAATTGCCCAGCAGTCTGATGAGAAGTCCTAGGAAGCCAAAATTGACCTCAAGGGATCATTCACATAAGTATTAAGAAACTTCCTGACCTTGGCATATCCTGGCCCTGCCTCAACTCTCTAAGAAACTTTCAGTTATAAGTTAGGAATTTTAGGTAGTGTTAAAGGAAGAAAAAATTCAAATAGAACTAGGCATGAGTGATAGGTTCAACTATGAAGGGACAGAGGTTTGTTGTAGCCCTAACGTAACCTACACTAACCTTCCCACTGTTTCTACCATGGGCCTTTTATCTCTTTGAATTGTTTAAGTGCACTTTTGTCTTAGACTTTTCTTTCTTAATGGACAAAGATATTTGCTATGTAAGCCTTATCTAGCAATGCAGAGTATCAAGAAGACCACTTACGATTCTGAGCCACAACCTGCATCCCAAATCTCAGAAGCATTTTGTTTCCAGCAGAGGCTTTTGCATGCTGCTGGGCAAGTGAATGTTACAGGACCATACAAAGGACAAATAGATCTAAATTGATGTGGGAGTTCCCACTTACTGGCTCTCTTTGCCAAGAAGACAATTCTTCCCTACTGCTGGATCCCCACACTTAAATCTTAAGAGAAATGTGGTAGAAAAATGCTCATGTGGGAGGACACTGAGAAAGATGATCAAAAGGTAAGAGAGTGAAGGAAACCACTACAAAGCAGCACTGAGCAGGACTTAAATTAATCAACTGGCTTTTCATGTTCACTTGTGAATTTATCCAAGGCCTAGGCTCCTTGTCTAGACTAGGAGCTCCTTGTCTAGAGTCAGTAGACCTATAGCAAGTGGACCTCTGTGAGTCACTAATCATTACTAAAACCTGTAATGACAGATGAAGCCAGAAAGCCTCAAAGGATAAGACAAGATCATAGCCAAGCACACCTGGATCCAACCTCAACTAGATAAAGTCTGTAGCTTCAGGCATCTCACTCCTGGATGGATTAACTTATTATCCTTATTAAGGGTTAATTTAATACCTTACTTGGAGAAGTCCTTGAGTGATTCCACCTTCTTGAGTACTTCCCTCACTTATTCTGATAACCAAATAAATACGGGCCACACAGAGAAGATCTTGGTCTTACCCTTGAAAGAATCTTGAATTCTGTGAGAGGGTTTTGATCCTCCTGGAGCCCTGATATCATTCCATTTGCCTCTTTTTATTTAACCTTCATCATACACTCATTTGGGAGATTGCAGACCTGATCAGCCCACAATAACTAAAGATTATTATTAACCTGATTAGAGAGGACACCTAAAACTTTTAAACAAGTCTACTACTTTGACCTCTTGAGTACTACATTTCTTGCTCTCACAATGCCAGTGAATATCATCAAAATTTAAAGTCCTAGAAATCAGTGGCCATTTCACCTAAAGTTGCTACATGTAGAACAGACCTTAGTCTCTGATACTGAGCCAATAATATTTGTTAAGTAATGAAAAAAAAGTTTTCAAAGATTCTGCTAATCAGAATGGCCTCTGACTTTGTGATGTTGTTCTAGGGTCCCAGGAAACCACAACTACTGATGCAGAATAGCAGTAGTTTATCAAAAATGGGTTGTGCAGTGTCTTTCTTCAAAAATTTTTTGTGATCTAAATTCTTAACAATCTCTGAGATTACCACTGAATTTTAATAATACATATGTAAGCTTCAAAGTAGCACATTTTTATTGTTTTTCTTTAATCTATTTTTTAATGGTGATGAGTATTGAGTCCAGGGCCTTCATACTCAGCTACACTCCCAGCCCTTTTTATTTCTATAAAAGGACCTTCCTAAATCATTAGGTCAAGTAGACTGGGCTTGAACACATGATCCTCCTGCCTCAGCCTCCCTGAGTGTGGGGTTACAGGCACGTGACAACATGTCTGGCTCTTTAATCATCACTTTCCTGAAGAGCACTTCAGGGATCGTCCATGCTACAGTTTGGCGGCCGTCTGAGTGTGTCCCCCAAAGCTTCATGTGTTGGCACATGGTCCTCTGTGTGGTGGCACTGGGATATGATGTGGAATCTTTAAGAACTGGAGCTTAAAGGGAGACAACTGAGGGCACTGCTCGTGGAGGGAAATGAAGTTGTTCTTATGGGACTTTGGTTAGTTCTCTTCAAAGTGTTGTTAGAATGAGCCTGACAATTGAATTGCTTTCAGGCTTCTTATATGTGAGCTCTGCTTCTTGCACATGCCCTGCCATCCTGAGATGCAGCCAGATGAGGCTGCAGTAGAGGCAGATCTGTTCTATTTGGACTTTCAGTCTCCAAAGCTGTAAGTTAAATACATATATTTCTTTTCTTTAGACTAGTCCTAGCCATGGGTATTTCATTGTAGACACAAACCAGACCAACACACCCAGCTATATAGTTGGCTTGCAACCCACACACTGTTCTTTCACATGTTCCCAACACCTGTGGTGCTGGGGTAAGCTTGAGAGTACATATTCTTCCATTTAAACAGTGTGGTAGAAGTGAAATATCGTAAATACAAGAAACAGAATTCAAATTACTTCAATTACTTATTCTGTTGGATAAGAGTGTTTCTTTTTTAAAAAATTTGAGGTATAATTGGAGTGCAAAAAGTGCACTCAAAGTTCAATGAATCTTTTTTTAAAATTACTATATGTTTGTGTGTAGAATAATTACATTCATTTTGCAGAACTGATACATATACATATTACAACTTAGTAATTTTATTTCTCCTTGTCTCCCAAGCTTTCCCTCCCCACTCCATTCCTAGATTACCTTCTCATTTCCACAAATCTTACCTCTGTTTCTTACAATTTCTATTTTTTCTTTAAATTATTTATATATTGGGTTTATCATATAAAAGGAACCATGTGATATTTAATCTTTTGTGTGCAATTTCACTTAGAATCGTAGTTTCAAGGTGCATCCATTCTCCTACAGATGACTCTAATTTATCCTTCTTTATGATTAAGCAGTACTACATTGCGTTTATAGCACATTTTCTTTATCCATTCATCTGCTGATGGACATATAGGTCACTTCCAAAATTTAGCTGTTATGAGTTGTGCTGCTGTAAACATAGGTATGCATGCACCACTGAAATATGATGTCTTAAAGATTGAGAAGATTGCCAGAAGAAGTACACCTGAATCAAATGGAATTTCTATTTTTAGTTTTTGAGGAATCTTCATCCTGATTTCCATAGTCACTATACTAGTTTTCACTCCCACGAGTATAGAATGGTTCCTTTTTTCCTCCCACAGCCTCACAAGCATTTGTTGTTTTTCGAGTCTTTGATGATAATCATTCTTATGGAATCTCACTTGTTTTGATTTGCATTGGTCTAACGGAAAAAGATGCTGAACACTTTTTCATGTACTGACTGGCCATTTTTACATCTTCTTTGAGAAGTGTCTACTCATTTAAATTGCCCATTTTTGATTGGGTTTTTTATTATTGGGAGCCTAATTTTTTGACTTTTTTATATATTCTAGATATTAGTCTCTGAGCAGTAACTGGCATTTTTTCCCATTCTGTACATTGTCTCTTCATTCTGTTCATTATTTTCTTTGTTGTACAGAAGATTTGTAATTTGATATAATCCCATTTGTTGCTTTTTCATGTAATTTCTTGTGCAATTTCTTTTTTTTTTTTTTTT